TTAATTTTTGACTCCGCTTGGCGGCTGCTCCCTTCAAAATTCAACTTAATTTTTGACTCCGCTTGGCGGCTGCTCCCTTGAAAATTCAACTTAATTTTTGACTCCGCTTGGCTGCTGCTCCCTTCAAAATTCAACTTAATTTTTGACTCCGCTTGGCAGCTGCTCCCTTCAAAATTCAACTTAATTTTTGACTCCGCTTGGCGGCTGCTCCCTTCAAAATACAACATAATTTTTGACTCCGCTTGGCGGCTGCTCCCTTCAAAATTCAACTTAATTTTTGACCCCAGTCGGGAGCAGCTACCTTCAAAATTCAACTTAATTTTTGACTCCGCTTGGCGGCTGCTCCCCTCAAAATTCAACTTAATTTTTGACTCGGCTTGGCGGCTGCTCCCTTCAAAATTCAACTTAATTTTTGACCCCAGTCGGGAGCTGCTCCCTTCAAAATTCAACTTAATTTTTGACTCCGCTTGGCGGCTGCTCCCTTCAAAATTCAACTTAATTTTTGACCCCAGTCGGGAGCAGCTACCTTCAAAATTCAACTTAATTTTTGACTCCGCTTGGCGGCTGCTCCCTTCAAAATTCAACTTAATTTTTGACTCCGCTTGGCGGCTGCTCCCTTCAAAATTCAACTTAATTTTTGACTCCGCTTGGCGGCTGCTCCCTTCAAAATTCAACTTAATTTTTGACCCCAGTAGGGAGCAGCTCCCTTCAAAATTCAACTTAATTTTTGACTCCGCTTGGCGGCTGCTCCCTTGAAAATTCAACTTAATTTTTGACCCCAGTAGGGAGCAGCTCCCTTCAAAATTCAACTTAATTTTTTACCCTAGCAGGGAGCAGCTCCCTTCAAAATTCAACTTAATTTTTGACCCCAGTCGGGAGCTGCTCCCTTCAAAATTCAACTTAATTTTTGACCCCAGTCGGGAGCTGCTCCCTTCAAAATTCAACTTAATTTTTGACTCCGCTTGGCGGCTGCTCCCTTCAAAATTCAACTTAATTTTTGACCCCTGTAAGGAGCAGCTCCCTTCAAAATTCAACTTAATTTTTGACCCTAGCAGGGAGCAGCTCCCTTCAAAATTCAACTTAATTTTTGACCCCAGTCGGGAGCTGCTCCCTTCAAAATTCAACTTAATTTTTGACCCCAGTAAGGAGCAGCTCCCTTCAAAATTCAACTTAATTTTTGACTCCGCTTGGCGGCTGCTCCCTTCAAAATTCAACTTAATTTTTGACCCCAGTAAGGAGCAGCTCCCTTCAAAATTCAACTTAATTTTTGACCCCAGTCGGCAGCTGCTCCCTTCAAAATTCAACTTAATTTTTGACTCCGCTTGGCGGCTCCTCCCTTCAAAATTCAACTTAATTTTTGACCCCAGTCGGGAGCAGCTACCTTCAAAATTCAACTTAATTTTTGACTCCGCTTGGCGGCTGCTCCCTTCAAAATTCAACTTAATTTTTGACTCAGCTTGGCGGCTGCTCCCTTCAAAATTCAACTTAATTTTTGACTCCGCTTGGCGGCTGCTCCCTTCAAAATTCAACTTAATTTTTGACTCCGCTTGGCGGCTGCTCCCTTCAAAATTCAACTTGATTTTTGACCCCAGTCGGGAGCAGCTCCCTTCAAAATTCAACTTAATTTTTGACTCCGCTTGGCGGCTGCTCCCTTCAAAATTCAACTTAATTTTTGACTCCGCTTGGCGGCTGCTCCCTTCAAAATTCAACTTAATTTTTGACTCCGCTTGGCGGCTGCTCCCTTCAAAATTCAACTTAATTTTTGACTCCGGCTTGGCGGCTGCTCCCTTCAAAATTCAACTTAATTTTTGACTCGGCTTGGCGGCTGCTCCCTTCAAAATTCAACTTAATTTTTGACCCCAGTAGGGAGCAGCTCCCTTCAAAATTCAACTTAATTTTTGACTCCGCTTGGCGGCTGCTCCTTCAAAATTCAACTTAATTTTTGACCCCAGTAAGGAGCAGCTCCCTTCAAAATTCAACTTAATTTTTGACCCCAGTAGGGAGCAGCTCCCTTCAAAATTCAACTTAATTTTTGACTCCGCTTGGCGGCTGCTCCCTTCAAAATTCAACTTAATTTTTGACCCCAGTAAGGAGCAGCTCCCTTCAAAATTCAACTTAATTTTTGACCCCAGTCGGGAGCAGCTACCTTCAAAATTCAACTTAATTTTTGACTCCGCTTGGCGGCTGCTCCCTTCAAAATTCAACTTAATTTTTGACTCCGCTTGGCGGCTGCTCCCTTCAAAATTCAACTTAATTTTTGACTCCGCTTGGCGGCTGCTCCCTTCAAAATTCAACTTAATTTTTGACCCCAGTCGGGAGCAGCTACCTTCAAAATTCAACTTAATTTTTGACTCCGCTTGGCGGCTGCTCCCTTCAAAATTCAACTTAATTTTTGACTCCGCTTGGCGGCTGCTCCCTTCAAAATTCAACTTAATTTTTGACTCCGCTTGGCGGCTGCTCCCTTCAAAATTCAACTTAATTTTTGACTCCGCTTGGCGGCTGCTCCCTTCAAAATTCAACTTAATTTTTGACCCCAGTCGGGAGCAGCTACCTTCAAAATTCAACTTAATTTTTGACTCCGCTTGGCGGCTGCTCCCTTCAAAATTCAACTTAATTTTTGACTCCGCTTGGCGGCTGCTCCCTTCAAAATTCAACTTAATTTTTGACTCCGCTTGGCGGCTGCTCCCTTCAAAATTCAACTTAATTTTTGACTCCGCTTGGCGGCTGCTCCCTTCAAAATTCAACTTAATTTTTGACTCGGCTTGGCGGCTGCTCCCTTCAAAATTCAACTTAATTTTTGACTCGGCTTGGCGGCTGCTCCCTTCAAAATTCAACTTAATTTTTGACTCGGCTTGGCGGCTGCTCCCCTCAAAATTCAACTTAATTTTTGACCCCAGTAGGGAGCAGCTCCCTTCAAAATCCAACTTAATTTTTGACTCCGCTTGGCGGCTGCTCCCTTCAAAATTCAACTTAATTTTTGACCCCAGTAAGGAGCAGCTCCCTTCAAAATTCAACTTAATTTTTGACCCCAGTAGGGAGCAGCTCCCTTCAAAATCCAACTTAATTTTTGACTCCGCTTGGCGGCTGCTCCCTTCAAAATTCAACTTAATTTTTGACCCCAGTCGGCGGGAGCTGCTCCCTTCAAAATTCAACTTAATTTTTGACTCCGCTTGGCGGCTGCTCCCTTCAAAATTCAACTTAATTTTTGACTCCGCTTGGCGGCTGCTCCTTCAAAATTCAACTTAATTTTTGACTCCGCTTGGCGGCTGCTCCCTTCAAAATTCAACTTAATTTTTGACTCCGCTTGGCGGCTGCTCCCTTCAAAATTCAACTTAATTTTTGACTCCGCTTGGCGGCTGCTCCCCTCAAAATTCAACTTAATTTTTGACTCGGCTTGGCGGCTGCTCCCTTGAAAATTCAACTTGATTTTTGACCCCAGTAAGGAGCAGCTCCCTTCAAAATTCAACTTAATTTTTGACTCCGCTTGGCGGCTGCTCCCTTCAAAATTCAACTTAATTTTTGACTCCGCTTGGCGGCTGCTCCCTTCAAAATTCAACTTAATTTTTGACTCCGCTTGGCGGCTGCTCCCTTGAAAATTCAACTTAATTTTTGACCCCAGTAAGGAGCAGCTCCCTTCAAAATTCAACTTAATTTTTGACCCCAGTCGGGAGCTGCTCCCTTCAAAATTCAACTTAATTTTTGACCCCAGTCGGGAGCTGCTCCCTTCAAAATTCAACTTAATTTTTGACCCCAGTCGGGAGCTGCTCCCTTCAAAATTCAACTTAATTTTTGACCCCAGTCGGGGGCTGCTCCCTTCAAAATTCAACTTAATTTTTGACTCCGCTTGGCGGCTGCTCCCTTCAAAATTCAACTTAATTTTTGACTCCGCTTGGCGGCTGCTCCCTTCAAAATTCAACTTAATTTTTGACTCCGCTTGGCGGCTGCTCCCTTCAAAATTCAACTTAATTTTTGACCCCAGTCGGGAGCTGCTCCCTTCAAAATTCAACTTAATTTTTGACCCCAGGCGGGAGCAGCTACCTTCAAAATTCAACTTAATTTTTGACTCCGCTTGGCGGCTGCTCCCTTCAAAATTCAACTTAATTTTTGACTCCGCTTGGCGGCTGCTCCCTTCAAAATTCAACTTAATTTTTGACTCCGCTTGGCGGCTGCTCCCTTCAAAATTCAACTTAATTTTTGACCCCAGTCGGGAGCAGCTACCTTCAAAATTCAACTTAATTTTTGACCCCAGTAAGGAGCAGCTCCCTTCAAAATTCAACTTAATTTTTGACTCCGCTTGGCGGCTGCTCCCTTCAAAATTCAACTTAATTTTTGACTCGGCTTGGCGGCTGCTCCCTTCAAAATTCAACTTAATTTTTGACTCCGCTTGGCGGCTGCTCCCTTCAAAATCTACTATATATAAATTTCTTTGTCCGTGCGCCCGACGTGCGACCGGGAATTCAACGTGCCCTCAGGGCATGTCCCGGGGAGAGGGGCAGGGGCCAGAGGTCACAGGGGCCGTTCGCGCATTAATGGTAGCAGAAACCCCCAAACAAAAGAATAATTGTTTCGCAACGGTTTTTATTGTTTTTTTTTTGTATTAAAGAAGGGGAAATAACTTTCTTTCAAGGGTATTTTAGCCATTACGCGTTTCTTAGATGTTTTTTTAGCATCAAAGAAGGGAAATAACTTTCTTTCAATGGTATTCTAGCCATTCCACAATTCTTAGATGTTTTTTAGTATCGACGAAGGGATGCAACTTTGTTTCAAAGGGTTAACTTTTTAATCGACTAACTTTAATAACGGTGTAACATTATTGACTTTCGCTATCGTCGCGTTGTTTTCTTTCTTTCTTTCTTTCTTCCTTTCTTTTCTTTCTAAAAGCTTTCTTCTTGTCCTCGCCTGCATTTTGATTTGCATGCGCATTCGATTTCCTTTTCGTTCTCCATTATTGTTTTCTGGCTTTATGCTTTCCGTATTTAAATTTGGTGATCTTTCAGGTAATGCCGCGAGCTCGCCTGACCCCCGAGCAACAAGAAGCACGTCGGGAGCAAGATCGCCTTCGGAGCGCGGCCCGCAGAAATGTTTGATTTTTGTTTCTGGTTCTTTAGGATTCCCGGGGGGGGAAAGTATTCCCGGGGAAACCAATTTTTTTCGGCGAACTCGATTTTGTATTTTTGTATAATTGTTTTTGGATTGTTTTTAATAATTTTTAACTATTCTTTGCATAAAAACTACACACATTTAACAACCAAAAAATGTAATTAAAATATTAAAAATTAGGTCGAAAAATAGACCCCAATTTTCGACCAAATTTTCGACTTTTTCAAACATTTTTCTAAATTTGTCTGAAAGTTATTCTGCTTTAAATATAGTTAAAACATTACTAAAAACAATCCGCAAACACTTTATATTTGATTACTAGGTCAACCGGGACCAAAGACAAAAAATTTGGTTTCCCCGGGAATACTTTCCCCCGGGAATCCTAAAGAACCTTGTTTCTTATTTCGTTTTTTTTTAGCTTTATGCTTTCGGCCTGTCAACTTGGTGATTTTTCAGGAAATGCCCGCCGAGCAACAAGAGGCCCGGAGAGAACAGAACCGTCTTCGAAGTGAAGCGCGTCGATCTGCTGCCACGGATGCCGAACGCGAACAAGAGCGTCTTCGAATGGAAGCCCGTCGTGCAGTGGCCGATGATGAGCAACGGGACTACTAGTATCGGTTGTTTTAACCCCCCTCAAGAATCACATGCCACCAAGTCAATTTTTGTTTTACATGCCATATTTCTTATACTACTACAAAACGTGTTTGTACGCGTCAAAACAGGCGGTGACTCAAGCGACAGCTGACACCCGCAAACCGTTTTCGAACGTGGGGCGTTTGCGACCCCCAACTGGGAAAGGGCCCCCAACTGGGAAGGGACCCAACTGGGAAAGGACCCCCAACTGGGAAAGGGACCCAACGTAGGGAAAGGGTTTTTTCGGGTCAGTTGCGAAAACTAACAGCTGACCGCAGGAGGCATAAATAGAGAGACTTCCCCTTCAATTTCACAAAGATGGAACGTAAACCTTTTAAATTCCAGCATCCTTGTTCTATTTTTGTGTTTTGTCAATCCTTGGGCGGCAAGACAACATGGACAATGAAATTTCTCGAATATTTAGAAGAAATTCTAGACGGCCACAAAGGAATCCAAGACATTTACTACTTTACCGGATCAAAACATGAAATTGAAGAAAAATATCCAGCAACGCCTTCCAATTTTCATATATTTGAGGGTCCACCAAGCGACCAGCAAATCGAAAGCTTCAAAAATGCCATCGTAATCCTTGACGATTTGATGCTTGACATGAAAGAAAGCGTGATGGCGGCTTTGACTTCGCGAATTACTCACCACCAAAACTGTACACTAATTTTCCTAAGTCAAGACGCATTTCGGACCCGGCGTACCGCCCGCATCAATGCAAACTACATTGTCCTTTTAAGATCTGTATCAGACCTACTACAAGCTCGCCAAGTGGGTCTACAGTGCTTTCCTAACCAATTTCCTTATTTCTGGGACAGTTATCTCGATGCAACTGCAAAACCTTATCAATATCTCGTAATCAATTGTCATCCAAATTTGGAAAATCGAAACGAACGTCTCGTTACAGACATTTTTCCAGATAAAAGGCAAATTTTTTACCTACCCAAGTAGTCATTTTCGAAAATGCAAGGTCGTCCACACAACCTGCAAATTTTTCACAAAATTGACAAAGCTACAAACCCAAAAGTGGTGATTCGAAAAGCAACCGACAAAGAAATACAAACCCTTGTCGAATTTATTTACAACCTAACCATAGGTACCGTACCTCTCTATAAATACGAGAAATCAAGCCTTCTACCACATTTGGCTACTTTGCAAACCTTGAGTAAGCTACGCGATTTTACAAAGGCGCGGCAAACACTTTGCTTCACGAAAAACTACTAAAAGTTATTACGAAACCTGCGTTGGCATTTGAGAATGACAGCTTCGAGAAAAAGTTTCGAAAAGATGGTCCTTGTACCATACGACGAGCAGCAAGGTGAAGGTTATGCTCATACACCTCGTGAGAAAATTGTTGAGCAAGCCAAAGAAACTGAACAACAAATGGCAAACGTACTACAAAGTACACTTCCCGATGATATGAAAATGCAAATGTATAACAAGTTTCTCAATTCCTTGACACAACTTGTCCAAGAAATTCGCAAGTTTGACCCCTTGCCTACACAAATTTTGAAAACGACGATAGTTGAAACCGCCAGAGATCAGACGGCCACGCAAAATACACAAAATAAAGCGAAGGGCTCTGCGAAAAGGGCACCGCGAAAGGTTTTGCAACAAAATCCATATGAAAAAAGCTATAAACTTTTGGCAAAGCACGTCAAGACGGACAATAAGAATAGAGTCTTGGATACGCAAGGTGAAACTATTGAAGGTAGCAACCTGTTTGAAATTGCAAGGGCGGCAGCCAGTGAAACCAAACGACCATTTCCCGTAGGTTACGAAGACGCTTATCACCAAGTGCAAGCAAAAACTCCACGGCTTGTGAAACAATTGAACGAACCCGTGTTTACACCACGTACAATTCAAAGCATACAAAAGGAAATTTTTCCATCTAGCCAGACCACAACTAGTCCACCCTTGGCGACTGACGAAAAAGTTTCAACCGGTGACTTGGTCAAGCGCGTTAGACAACTTCAGCGGGAGATCCTAGAAAAGCGCAAATTGAAGTCCGAAGCCTGGGATGGCGATGACGAAGACCAAACCGGTAGTGGTACCAAAAAAAGGTTCAAAGTCGCAAAGTATCACTAAAATACTTGATCTTCTATATACTGACCCTGAGTCGAATATTGCTTTTACGTCAAGAAATAATCTTGTGGCAGAAGCTAAAAAATATGGCATCACAAAGCGACAAGTTGATACATATCTGCAAACTAAAAATTCTTACGTTCTTCATAGGCGAGTTCTACACAAGTTTCCCAGAAAAAGTTTATTGGAACTAGCATGAACAGTCACCATGTCGCAGATCTTGCCGACTTTCAGAAAATTAAGCAATACAATGACGGGCAACGCTATATTTTGGTAGTTGTAGACTTGTTTTCGCGAAAAACCTACGCCAAACCTCTACTAAACAAGAAACCTCAAAGTGTCAAACGGCGTTTTGAGCAAATTTACAAGGAAATTGGTGATCCGCCACACTATTTGACGACAGATCAAGGGCTTGAATTTACCGGTGAACCAATGCGGCGCTACCTCAAAAACAACGAAGTTCGTCACATTTTAACAAAGGGAACCGCTAAGGCAGCACCAGCTGAACGTAAAATTCGTGATCTCAAGTCGCGCATCTACAAATATTTCACCGAAAACAACACTTACAATTGGGTTGAAGTGCTACCGAAAATCGTTGAGGGCCTGAACAATACGCCAACAGAACCCCTAAAAGGGTTGACGCCTAACGAAATGAAACGCGACACAATCATACAACCTGATGGTACACCTAAATTGCGAAAACCGGACCCGCCGCTAGCACTAAACGACTATGTCTTGCTAAAAAACGCCAAGTGGTGTTTCGAAAAGCTTACAAAGGCACGTTTTCTGGCGAAGTGTTCCAAATTAAACGCATAGTCAAACCTGCAAATTTCTCTGCACCAGTCTTTTATCTAAAGACATTGCAGGGGGTTTCCTGCGACAAGTATTTTACAAAGAAGAACTGCAAAAAGTGCGACAACCAAAAATGTACCGAGTGGAAAAAGTTTTGGGTACAAAGGTCATAAGTAGGCAACCTCACAGCCTTGTCAAATACCACAAAAAACCTGGTGTATTTAATGGGTGGATACCCGACAAAAGCCTCATTTACACGGACAAACTTTGATAATGGAAGAACTGCTTTCAAGCCGCTCGTCGACCACCTCACAGTACCGCAATAACATTCACATGGCATGGGCTAGAATTGTCATCATTTTTCTCATTGCTATAGCATGTCTCGCCAACATGACAATTGCCCATATAAAGGGCAACGATGTGACAGTGTGGCTAAGTGCTACCCTTTCTGTTGCTTGTCTTTTGGTACCCTCTCCGTTGAAAAGCAAAGCTATCAAAGGAAATGAGTGAAGACTTTTACGTAACACTCGTAGGTCCAGGGCGTCGTGAAGGAAAAGGTTCCAGTTTTGTCACGCACCTTGCCAAAGAAATCAACCTCTATCAAACGAATGGTCAGCAAGGTTATTGGACTTGCGCCCTTGTCGACTTGCAGCCTCAATGTCATGGGACCAAGTCCTTGAACCGCAAAAAATTTAGACTATGGTTCAAGGACGCCAAAGAAACACATCTTTGGCTAGCACAAGGCACTTACTCAACCCCCTGCTCGACTAATCAACGCTCTAAATGCAATTTTTGCCAAAACTCTAAAAAGGAAACGCGAAGCCCCTTTAGTGCTTGAGAATGTGCAAACTGCAAACCTTTTCCAAAAAATAGTCCCACTCGGTGCACCCAGTGCAGAACCCGAAAAACCAGCTACGCCACCACCTGCTCCACCCCGCCCCTGCCACGCTACCACCCCAAGCTCCTGCACCGCCACCAAAACCTCCCACACCACCACCACCAAAACCTCCCACGCCACCACCCCAACCCGCTGCTACGTCAGCACAAACAGTCGCACCTCAAACAGAAAAACCAGCCACAACACCTGCAAAAACAGTTGCAGTACCAGCAACGCCGAAACCAGCGCAACCTCAAGCACAACCCACAAACGTTGCAAACAATCGCCCACTTCCGAAACATATCCCG